TATATATATATATATATATATATATATATATATATATATATATATAGCACTAAAGCTTGGATACAGCATGCACAATTTTCCATCACCATGTAATGATTTTTTGCGAAAACTTAAGGGCTCGTTTGGATCACTGGATTTTTCAATCATGGGAAATGTCAATTCTGGAATTGACATTTCTTGGAATATGGTGTATGTTTTTTGAATCGCATATGGTAGAAATCAAGAAAATGCAAATTCTCTGTTTGGATTGCCTATAATATCTTTTTTTTGGAATTGCAAATCCTTTCTCTCTCTCTCAAAATTTTAAGATAGTTTCTCTCTCTAAAATTTGCTCTAAAATTCTAATACAATCTCTTTCAAAAATTTGAAACAATCTCTCTCTTAAAAATTGTAAATAGTTTCTCTCTCTAAAAATTTTATATACTCTCTGTCTAAAATTTGATATAGTTTATGTATCTAAACTTTTGAGATACTTCTCTCTCTAAAACTTGAAATTTGATATAGTTTCTCTATATAAAATTTTTGAGATAGATTCTCTCTCTAAACAATTTCAAGTAGATTCTCTCTCTAAAATATGATATAGTTTCTCTCTCTAAAGTTTTAAGGTACTTTCTCTATCTAAAACTTAAAATTTGAGATAGTTTATTTTTAAACATTTTAAGCTAGTTTCCATCTGTAAGAAATTTTAGCTACTTTTTCATTCTAAAATTTGATATAGTTACTCTATCTAAAATTTTAAGATGCGTTCTCTCTCTAAAACTTAAATTCTCATATAGTTTCTCTCTCTAAAATTGTCATTTCAATTTCCCTCTCCAAAATTTTAATATATTTTCTCTATCTAAAACTTAAAATTTGAGATAGTTTCTCTATCTTTTTTTTTTTTTAAATAGTTTCTCTCCAAAAATTTCGGGTACTTTCTCTATCTAAAATTTAATATAGTTTCCCTCTCTAAAGTTTTAAAATATTTTCTCTCTTAAACTTAAAATTTGAGATAGTTTCTCTCTCTAAAATTTACAAGTAATTTTCCTCTCTAGAATTTTAATATACTTTATCTCTGTAAAACTTTAAATTTGATATAGTTTCTCTATCTAAAATTTTTAAATACTATATCTCTTTAAAGATTTGAGGTATTTTCTCTATCTAAAAATTGATGTAGTTTCTCTCTCTAAACATTTTCAAGTACTTTCTCTATCCAAAATTTGATATAGTTCCTAATCTCTAAAATTTTAATATGTTGTCTCTC